GCCGCTCGCGCGCGCTGGCCGTTTCAGCGGCTGGCGAGGAGCAAACAGGCAAGGAACGGACTTTTTTTAGACTGCAGGTGCGTGCCAGGTTGGCGCGCCGGCGGCTCGGGCCACCACGAATTCAGCACGGAGCGGGTCAGTTGTTGCTTTTCCAGGGAGGCCCCACGGCCTCCCAATGCATCCCTTCCGAGGCCCAGAGGGCCCCCAGAGGCTCCAGAGCGGCGCGCGCAGCTGAACCCCCCCCCCCCCGAGAAATGGCGCCCTGGAAAACTGTTTCACGGTATTCGGGCAACGGGGGCCTTCCTGGGCCCAGGGACCGTCCACGAGGCAGTTCGGGATTGAAATCCGGTCCCCAGGATAATCTCAGGCTCCACAGCACGCTTCCACCAGGGACCTCCGCTCACTTCGTGCCAAGATGCTGGAGCTCTAGAATAAACGGCGATCGGCGGCGTCGTCCTTCTTTTCTGGCCCCCCCCCGATGGCCTCGCAGATCGATGCGGCTCGAGAAGTGGGCAGGAAGTAATAACATGGAACGCTCTGTTTTTGAATGTTTGTGTTTCTTGCTGTTTAGTTGTTGCTTGTTGTATTCGTATTGTGTCAGGGCTTCTCCCTCTGCCGCCGGCCCCCATCATAAAAGGACATGTCAAAGCTTCGTTTGGGTATTTGGACGCCGTCTTGAAGACATGTCGGAACATCATGCGAGGACGGATGGGAATCCGCAACACATACCTATACGACCACCCTTCGGGTGATAAGGAGGTTGGGCGGCGTTGGGGAGGGAAAACCAACTGAAGACACTTGCGATGATTTTGATTGCGACTAGACAGCGACGATGCACGATGACGCTGATTGTGATAATATATACTGGCCATAAAAACGAACGGGGCACTGACGATGCTGATGGTGAGAATGGGGAACTGACTAAGTGCTTGGGAAATCACCGCGGTGATATTGGCAACGCGATGAGACTCCTCCTGCGCCCGCAGTGCCACAGACCGGCGCTGTCAGAAACCAGATTTGGCAAATACAGCCCTGCAGCGGCAATACGTTAAACAAACGTTAGAAACATTACCACGTCGCCCAAATGTCAAATTGCGCTGGCAGACCCTGGCACTGGCAATGACACTACTCGCTTAGATCGAGTCCCGCAAAGAAGCAGCGAGCGCGTGTGGTTTCGACGCAAGGCGGTGAACTCTCCGCGCGCAGCCCTCGGACCAATACTTCCTAGTAGTGTTTCCCGGCGACTGGGCACGCGTGGGCGTGTCCACAGAGCCTGCTGGCGGATCGCTTTGTCAGGTGCTCGATTGTAGCAGTCGGGGTCTCTCCTCCGGCAGAGCCTGGTATCTTGCATGTGACGGCCGATGCGAGAACGAAAGCGCAGTCTTTGTCGCGCATCAGCAGGAGTGGCTGGCGCCGACGATGCTCTGATTAGCCCAGTGGAGTGCCAAGCCCAATATGGGATCCTCCACCACGCGGCCCATTGGCACGGGAAGTACGACATCCGCAGTCACCGTCGAAAAACCGCGGCAAAGTCGCGCAGCCGCCAGGGACGCGTAGGCAGTGAGAGGCGCCGCGCCTACCCCCACAATGTACCTCTTCGTGAAACCACACTCGCTCCGTAGAACCCCGCGAACGTTGAATCGCTCCCTGGCGCCTGTCAGAGGTTGGGCGCTGAGCTGCGAAGCCGCCTCTTCGGACGCGCTGCGTCCCTCGAGCGGTGGAGCAACACAGCCCATAACGTCCACGTCCGCGCCCCCAGTGCCTTCCCGAAGCCGGCAGCTCTTCAGGAAGGGGCGGCCGTCGTGCGCGTGTATGAGGTCCTGTTGCAGCGGCGCGTCCAGGAGGCACCGGTTGATTTGAAATGTGATGGGGCCAGGGAAGCCACGGCATCGGCCAAAGCCGCAGCGCAAGTCGGGTGCGTTTTTTCCTTGCACCTCTGCGAGCAAACTTTGGCCCTGCGTAAAGGTTGTCGCCAGCACTCCGCCCTCTGCATTCGACGCGTTGAGACTCGTGAGAGACTGGGCTTGCTCCCCTGTCGCGCAGACATGACTCACCGGCCACGCGTTAAATTTCACCTCGCCGTTTTCCACGGCAGAGGAACACTTGGGCACAGCCACTCTGGCTCCAACGGGCAAGTCTCGGAGCTATGGGCGGGCATTTCGCCAGACGCTAGCCGCAATCTTGTCCCTCGTGAAGTTTGCGAACTCAGCGTCTGCCGCGCCATAGACACCGCCTGCCTCGGCCCCCTGCCTCGCGGCGCTGATGCCGAGAAATGTCTTTGTGAAGTCGGACGTTTTGCGGTCGACGCCGGTGGGGCCTGGCCCCTTCGCGCTGGCCTTTCAAAGACAAGCGATGCCCTGGATGCCCAGTGCGACGCGAGTGCCCGCGGAGGGATATGCTGGCATATCCAGGCTCGCAGGCAGCGCTCGCGTGGCCTGCGTTGGTCGTCAGGGCACAACGACGGCCCTGAGAGGGCGCCCGTCGAAGTCTGGCTTGGCTCGACTGTCGGAGCCTGGAGCGGCTAGCTCCCGGGCGCTGTCGGCCGCAAGTTTGGACGGCACACTGGTCAAAGCATTGCGGTTCTTGAAGCCGATGGGCGCAAGTCCAAGCGCGCGGTGATCTGGGGCATTGGACACAGGGGCGCGCTCGTTTTGCTACGCCTTGACCTTCTCACCCTGAGGCCAGAGTGAGCAATCGACCGCCCCCGGGTCGAGAATCCTCGCGTGCCACTTTGCGATCCTAGCGGTAGTGCTGCTCGTGTTCTTCAGCGTCTCAGCGTTTTTCGGCGGCGTGCCTTCCGGCGCCATTTTGGCAGGCAAAGCCTGGCCACCGGGCGAGAACCGGTCTCGTCGAGACGCGGCGCGAGTAGCGCGGCGCGCGCGGGGGGGCTTGAGCCCGCAACCATTTCGATTGCGAAAGCCACGTGGGGCGGCGGCGTGGCGCGAGAAGGCCCGCGCGACTGCAAGCGTTGCAACGTTCTGCCCCGGCCGCGCCGCTGATCTCCGATGTCGCGTGAATTTCGCCAGAATCCCTGTCGAGACAAAGGAAACTCTGGCAGAGCCCTCTCGAAGCCGAATACACACCACCAGAGCACCGAAGAGGCTCTTCGAACGCGAGCAGAGCTTCGCGGCTAAATTCATGCCACCAGAACCCCGCAGTGCGCGAGCTTGCGATGGCACTCGCGCGGCCTCGAAGCTCTCGCGGCTGGATGGCGACCCCGCCGTCGACTTCGCCAAGAGACGTCGCGGTGCGGTTGCGGGGCGCCGACGGGAGCGGCGCCCAGCGCCGACAAGAGCGGTGCCCAGCGCGACCTCGCGGCGAGCGCGCCCAGTGAGATCGGGGCGCCATCAGGCCCGCTCAGGCCGCGCATGCCCCGACATGGGCGGCCGCCGGCCCCGCGGGCCAGGATTCCTTCTGGGCCAGCGAAGCATCGCCACTACCCTTCCGAGGCCAAGTCCATTCAATTGACGCGCAGAAGCTGGGCCACATGCGCACGCGGACTCCGCGCTGGCCCCCGCGACCGACCGCGCGACGACGCAATCGAGCCCGCGATGGGGCATCAAAGAGGATTCGAGGCCAACTTAATGCCGCCAGAACTCTTTCGATGCCAAATTCGCGCCGCCAGAACTGCCATTCATCAGTTGCTGGCGGCGATTGTTTGGCCTCGAAGCTCCCGCGATCGCACGGCGGCTTCGCCGTCGATTCCACCGAGAGACGCCGCGGGGCGCCGACGAGGCGCCGAAAGGCGCAACGCGCAGTCTGGTCTCACGGCGAGTCCGGCGCAGTGCGCTCGGGGCGCCGGCAGGCCCGCTGGGGCCGCAAATGCTGCAAGCGCAACTGACAGAGACGCACTGCGGCCCCGCCTCATGAGAACCCCTTCGAGGCCAAATCTATGCCATCCGAATCCCTTCGAGGCCAAATAATTCCCGCCAGAAGTGCCTCTCGCCATCTGCCGGCGGCGAGATTCTGGCTTCGAAGTTCCCGCGATCGCACGGCGGCCTTGCGCTAGACCTGGCCGAGAGACGCCGCGGGGCACCGGCGGGGCATCGACAGGGGCAGCGCGCAGTTCGATCTCGCGACAAGTAGCGTTCAGTTCGATCGGGGCACCAGCAGAGCCAACGCACCATGCCCCCATTGAGGCCATGCACATACCACCAGAACCCCTTCGAGGCCAAACGAATGCCACCAGAGCCCTCTTCGAGGCCGAACAAGTGCGACCATGACCTTTTCGATGCCGCGCAAATTCGATCAGAGCGCCTTCGAGGCTACATCAATGCCACGAACTGCCTCTCGTCAGCTGCCGGTGACATTTTTTTGGCTTCGACGCTCCCGCGGTCGCGCGGCGCCCTCGCCGTCGATCTCGCCAAGAGACACCGCGGGACACCGACGGGGCGACGAAAGGGCGCCCGCGGGACACCGGCGGGGCACCGAGGGGATACCACGGGACACCATCGTCGCACCAGCGGATGTCACTTTCGATCTCACGATCGATATTATTATCGACCACATTTTCGATATCACGATCGACTCCGCCATCGATGCCTGCGCCGATCTCGCTTTCGACCTGTCGCCCGCGCTATAGACTTCACCGCCTGCGCCTCGGTCGCGCAGTGGATCCCGCTATCGATATCAATTTCGAGGTTTTTGCGCTCTCAGAATCCACGATCGACCCGACTCGATCGACGCAATTGACGACGGCTGGTGGCATGGGAGGTGGTGCTGCTGAGTTGTTTTTGCAGTGCAAGCGCGGCCCCCCGGACACGAGCTGTCGCTCGCACGAACTGGCACATCCGAGCGCGGCGACGCGCCGCAAGCGTCTCAGTTTCAAAAATGTGCAGTAGCGCGGGCAGAGCCTGGCGCCCCTCTCCTCTTGCGATTCCTGCCTTGCGCGGGCGCCGAGAAGCCCGGGGGCTCCCGCCAAATGCCATTGTTCTCCACCAAATCGAACTTGTGCCAATTGCCGCGCGCCAGAGTTGGAGCCGCGCGCGCAAGGCGAGTGC